TGCGTGATAAGGTAAGATGGTTATCGCTTGATCTAAATACTAATAAGGCTATTAAGAAGCGGCAAAGAACTGCAAAGCATCCTCAGTTAGAAGAGGCTGTTGCTCTTTGGATATCTCGGGCTGTTGCAGCATCGCAGACGATTAATACAAAAAAAGGCAAAAAAACTTGCAAAAGCTCTTGATGTAAAAGATTTCAATGCTTCCAACGGGTGGTTGGCAAATTTCAAGAAACGATATTATATAAAAGAATATAAACGTCAAGGTGAATCTGCAAGTGCCCCTCTCGATGAAATTCCCCAGTTTCAAGCTGAGCTACGCGAAATAATTAAGAACTATCAGCCTGAGGATGTTTACAACGCTGATGAGACGGGGTTGTATTGGCGAATGGAGCCTGATAAATCATTGGCGAGTCATCCGATTTCTGGAAAAAAAAAATCTAAAGACCGAGTTACGATCCTACTTGCATGCAACGCCACCGGCGATGACAAGCTTACTCCTTTATTAATATACAAATATAAAAATCCTCGTCCACTTTTCAACATCGATAGGTCTACTTTACCGGTGCACTATTGGAATAGCTCTGCTTGGATGCAAGCATCCATATTAATCACCATATAAAACAACTCGACAACCAAATGAAACGTGCTGGCCGTTCAATTCTTCTACTTTTAGACAACTCCTCCACACACACTCTCGAAGAAAACTTTAAACCATCAAATATTAGACTTCATTACCTTCCTCCAAACATTACTACACACCTCCAACCGCGTGACGCGGGTATAATTTGGAGTTTTAAGGTAAGTTTTATGTGTGACTGTTATTATACATATGTGGTACTAACTATAATAAAAATAGGCGCACTATAAAAAAACGTTCTGTGAAGATCGTATAGATGCCTTTTGACGCTATGAATTCCGATGAGCTCCTTAAGCTAATAAACATCAAAGATGCGATCAATTTCGTGAGCACTGCTTGGGAAAATGTGACTAAAGAGACAATACGTAATTGCTGGTTGAAAACTGGCATTCTACCAGACGGTTTTTTTGATTTGAATGACGATTCTGAACCGGCTGCAGTTGATGTTATCAGAGAAATTCAAGACCTTATTGGACGATTGCCTCTTGATCAACCAATGGATGCAGAAGAGTATGTGGTAATTGATGACAATGTAACCGCTCGTGAGATACCTACAGACGAAGTAATCGTTTCAATCGTAAAGAATTGTGAGTCAAATGGATCGGATGACGAAAATTTGGAGACAGAGCCGGTATCCTATGCGCAAGCCATTACGTTTGTTGACGGCATCATAAATTTTCTTGAACAACAACCAGATGGCGATTTTATTGTTTATAATTCTTTAGTCCGAGGTTTAAGTAAATTGAAAAAAGAAGTTGTTTTCAAGAAAATTGCTTCAAGAAAACAAAGCGTTTTGGATGTGTTTGTTAGCAAGCAGTAATAAACAACCTAATATTAATGAGTGAGCATTAAATCGAAGAATATAGCCCGTTTAGTCAATGTTATGTCTTTTTTCGCTTTTTATTTCCCTTTATTTCTTTGTTATTTGAATGATATAATTAAATGGTATGACATTTCATATAAATCGTGCAGCACAGTTGAATCGTCAGTAGAAATAACGTTTGAGTCATTTATTATTATACTACCATAAGACTGGCCAGTCGCGATATAGTGAAGATTTATGCCACTTATATATGAACTTTACTATATTGAAAATTTTCGATATAGTAAATTCTTTGATATAGTAAAGAAAAGTCCCTATCCCGTCAACTTGACTATATCAGAGTTTGACTGTATATAGGATATGGGAGCACAAAGGTGATGTCCTGTCATAAATTAAAATGGTAAGTATTTGTTGAGGCATTGACTAAATTAGAATTGTTTATTTTCTCACATGAAATCCAACTCACTTTTTAGTTTAATTAATCTCATCTCAAAGGCCTTTATTATCATAAATAAATGTAATCATTGATAATACTGAATGCCCCTCATTTTGCTTTTTATAATAATAATAATTTGCTTTTTGTGATATCAATGGAAAGACTCATAAATATATGATTCTGTACCAATTTATGTTCATTTTCTAAGGAAGATTATCAAGATTATTAACAGCCTCTGATGTTGATGATGGTAACAATGATGACAACATTATTTGAATAGAAATTAGACAAAAAACTACAAAAAAAAAAAAAATAAAAAGGAAAAAAAAGGAGATTTTTTATGATTCATAGTCTGGTAATTCCAACATATTTGTCACAATATCACTGATTTTTTTGTTACTTGTTTCAGCAGTGATTTGATTCATAGTAATAGATGTTGATGATGTTGTGGATGTCTTGTTTATTTTTCTTTTTTTGCTTGTTGTTGCCATAGTAATTATAATAGCAATAGTCTAACTTGTTATGATCTACTGTATATATAAAATTAACACTTTGTTGACCAGCCCTTGCTTGCAATACATGCTTCAACCCTTCTAGGCATACTTTTAATTAAATTCATTAAAACATTGTTGGGAATTTGGCTCCATTCCTCCTGTAATGCTGTCTCAAGCTCCCTTAATTTTTTAGGTGTCTTTTCGGTTCTGACCATAAGGGTTTAAATCTGGTGATTGGCTTGGCCAATTAGGTAAAGTTCTGATCTTTTTTTCTGCAACCCATTCATTAATATTAACACCTTTCACAGTGTGAATGGGGGCATTGTCATCTTGAAACAAATACCCTTTTTCACCAAAATCTCTACTAATATTGTAAAGCGACTTTCATCACTCCAAATAGCAGACTTCCATTTTCAAATAGACCAATCCTTTCTTTTAAATACACCAGTTTAGGCAATTTTCTCTTTGCTGATAAGTAAGTAAAGGCTTGGATGTCAGAATGCAAAAAAAAAAAATTTAATTTTGTGTAAATTTCTCCTAATAGTTTTAGTAGAAACATCAAGTCCAGTTCTTTCATTAAACAGTTTTTGAGTTGTTCAGCTGATTTTTTGCTGTTTTGCTTAACAACCCGTTTTAATACTTGCTTATTAGGTAGTGTAGTAGTAGATAGTGTTTTTGTTGGCATTGTCAGTTGTCTGTACATATCATATATTCTATGTTGTCCAGTTGGACATATACTGTAACTGGTTCTCATCTACACCAAAGTCTCCAGTAATCCATATTTTGCTCTGTGGTTGGAGCTTTGTCATATGTGCTAGTAGGTGTGTTTGGGAGGTGTCATGTGTGCAGAAAATACTGCAATTGGTTAATATTAAAGGAATTCATGGCAGTCTTATCACCTTTGTGTCATGGGGTGGATATTCTAATTCTGAAGAATATCTGGTTTTTTTGTTGTGGTTTTGTATTGGCAATGAGTCAGTACACAGTGATAGAGAGTTTATTGTCTTTTATTTCAGTTATTGTTCCATTGAGATCCATGATGTCATGTCAGTTTATGGTGTTTATGAGTGAATGTTGTGATATTCTTCAGTAGCCATTACTATTACTATGCAGTGATAGATAGATTAACATATTGATCATCAAGGTTATGGTATTAGTATGTGCTTGAAGGTTGTGTTCTCCTCAGTTGAGTTTCTTTATGCTCATTATAAGTGCTGTTGTTGTATGCAAATGGATAAACATGTTTGATTTGATAGTTGTGAAAATGGATTATTTTTTAGTTTATATATTTCTTAGTATTGATGGTGATGGGAAGTTTTATATTTCCAAAAAAAGGCAAGTGTTCATAGTTCAAGGGGTTAAATCATATGATAATGTTGTATTAGTATTGTCAGCATTTAAATGTAGTATTTATTTATTAGTTCAGTCAGGGAATATACTCTGTGCTTAACAAAGGACACACAAAATCAGGGAATATACTAAAAAAGGAAACGAGTTCTAGAATGATCTGCGGACCAATTTTTGAAATTTGATTGGCTTAAACATTCTTTGCGTCACATTCTTTGCGAAATTTCACCCTATTTGACCGCGGTTAAAAACCAAACAAACACTTTTCATATTTGCCAATAATCATATAGTTTTTGCATACGTTAACGTATTAAGACGAAATGAAGAACATAATTCCGCTAACTAAGTTGTATTCAAACATTTTTTTGCAGTGTCCGTTTACCAGAAACCGAGAGCAAAAGACCTTCCGTGCATCTTTGCGAGTTTAGTTGAAGCATATGGTGAAGTTGGGTTGAGATCATGTGAAACGAAAGAACACCAAATGTGGCGGCATGCAAGCACCAAGGAAACAACTAAGTGACTTGCGCTCTTTCATAAATATATTCCTGAACTTGCTAATATACATTCTTCGTTAAAGTCATTTGTGATTTGTGAAAAACATTACAACCAAATTATTGCTAGTAATCAATTTTACCAGCATTTTATAAATCGCAGTCAAGAAAGTAAAACGACCCGGCTCGATCATGGTGAAGATGAAATCGCTCAGTCAGAAATATAACAGAACTGAACAATCAGATTATACGAATGCAGCAGCACCTTGAGGATCAGAGCACTGAAATCGTAAAACTAAAGAAACAACTACAGAAGGCTTACGAAGATATGAAAGAGCTTCGGAATTTGTATGAGGAAGAAAGTAAAAAGAATGAAATTCTTACTGAACGGTGGAATTCACGATTTTCTGATCTGTAAACGTGTTGACGCAATCGTTGAAATAGCTAACGAAGAACGCATATCACTATACAACGATGTGGAATCGTTAATAATAGGTTTTCGATAGACAATATCATGGTATATGAGCCGCATGAATGGCTGCGTAAACATAATCAAGTCATTTGTTAAATTCATTGAAACTCTGACTCGGAACAACAACTTGAGCCCGGAGAAACTTTTTAAGACCATTGTCACGGTTGGTTCAATATATGGTGCATGACATGGGAAATATGTATCAGAAATTCAGCTTGCTGCATCGGCTGTCAAGTTCAATTACGCGATCGAAGAAGGCTATCAACATCGATAACCATATTACAAGTGCAGGAAGCTATCATCGATTTCAAACCTGGCTAGAAGGATTATCGGACCGTGAAGAACCATTACCCGAGGGCCTTTTGTTTCTTGCGTTTGATAATGAATGAAGACTTCAAAGTGAAAATCCTTTACGTCTCGAAGGAGGCTCTTTAACTGAAAAACAAATTTCAATAAGAGTTTAAATAATTGTTCGATCTCCCAAAGGCTTACCTCTTCAGAACGCCAGCTCAAACCATAAACGATTATTTCGTCGGATGAATGTTCAAATGAACTGGATGAACGTTCAGGATATCGTTCCGGGGAGTGGTATCAGCGATCTTGGATAATTTGCTCAAGCTCGTTAACGTCATAGTTGCTTACGAGGCGGCTTTTTACGTTTACCAGGTCAGAAAGTACCAATAATCTCCTCCGACGTTTTTATAATTTAAGAAAAATACCAATAATAATGTAAAGAATATACTGACAATCTATCAACCAAAAACCAGATTAAGCACATACCTCAATATTTCTGTTATTACAACGAACGCGGCGAGAAGATAATGCCCTTGCATTAGGGTCTGTGAGTTTCATGTATTTATGCGCAATTTTGAGAATTTCTTCAATTTCAACACGTGTCACTTCGCAGCCATCAACCGGCGGATCTCTAATACTACTCAATTATTCTGACATGAGAAAGTGATCTATTTTTATTACTATGACAATAAAGAAAATCTCCATCGACCTTTGCATTCAAAATGGCAAAAAACATCACAAGCTGATATGCATACAAGAAAGGACCCTTCGCACATCTGTTAAATGTTTTTGTAGCAGAGTGCAATGGTTGTCTGCGTGATCCTAGGATCAAGAAAATGAAAGAAGTCTTCAAACTCAACAGAAATGCAAGCATCTGCAGTGAAGAAATGCCCGAAATATTGAATTTCACCACTGATGAATGCAACACCCACACCATTCCAGACCATTTGTAGTACTTCCATCTGTACCATGGATAGTGATGATGATAGTGAGTATGATGACTAATATGGTAACATTGAATGTGAGACCGAATCTGATCATGATGACGCCAAAAACGAAAGTATTGCAGAGGATGAATCATTTGAAGCTGTTGGTACAAATTCATCCAATTTTACAGATGACAATGAAGACGACATTACATTTAATGTGGATTATTTTATTTTTATTCAAAATGCAAGTACACTTTAAAATACCTACAACACACATTGACATATTCATCAAATTCTTGTGGATAATATTAATCAATATTGACAAACTATGATTTGCATCATTCCCCAACTCAATCTATGTTGTGAGAAAGCTTGTTCACATTCGTAATTGTTTAAGACATATGTTTCTTGTTCAAAATGCCACATTCCACAAGACTGTTAACTATGAACA